AGGTCGTTACGCCTCGATAGGCAACAAATACCAAAGACTTCAATTTTTACCTATAGTTATACGACTTTCCATTAGGAAATAAACATAATGTCATACTCTATCATAAACGCTACAGTGATGATAAAAGTCTCGAATATTGTAGATTTTTTGAGTTTTATAGGTGACTCACATAAAAATATTGGCTAACATAAAAATATTACCTTTACTGAGGCATAAAAGCGGTAAAGTGTATTGACCAAGGAATGCATTTTTATGCACATGACTCCTCCTCACAGAGAAGCGTATCAATGCCAGCTCTGGAACTTGGATAGTAAAAGAGAAACTTTCATCCCACCTAGGGCTCAAAGCTAATGAAAAGAGAAAATACAAAGTATCAAAAACAACATCTCATTTATTCTACCTAATATCTGGATTATTGTATTTGCTATCACTAGTCTGACCTTGTAAAGATTCGGGTTTTTTCACTAGATTTCTGTGCTTGTTTAAATGAGTTATAAGACTGCCACTCACCGCAGTGGTATGCAGTTTGTATCTTTTGTATAGATTTTGAAGTTAAAACTGTCAGAGGGAAGCTCTCAGAAGGAAGCAAACAGAGAACTGGGACCATCCTGGTCCCAGTGAGGAATCTGGGGGTGCACAAGAGGTTGGAAGGAGACACAAATGGGGCAGCTGGCCTCAAAAGCCCAAAGGGGTGCCCCAAGCCATATATCATCCTGCTCAGAATAAAAAAGTTGGGAGAAAGAAGGAGGAAGGGAAGATGCTCAGAGTTACAGCGTCTGCCTTCCCAAGTAACCATAACACACGATGGAGCCGTGCTTTCCTGCAAATGGTGGAACAGCTTTCTGCCAGTGGGAAGTGGTGAATGAATTCTTGATTTTGCTCTGCTTGTGCACGCAGATTCTGCATTGCTTATAAAACTGCTGTTATCTCAACTCAAGCATTTTCTCACTTTTGCCCTTCCGAGCTTCTCTCCCCTCCTACTGGCGGGGAGTGAGCGAGCAGCTGCGCGGGGCTGAGCTGCTGTCCAGGGAGAGCCCACAACAGTGAGTAAAGATGATCCATATTGCACCTCCTTTCAGGGGAGTGCTGCTAGCTAGGAGAGCCCATGCTTCCTTAACCTGCTTGTCTACCAAAACGGCACTTAACATGAACATTTTGTGCCAGAAGCTACTAGTCTAGAGAGAAATAATTGCAGTTTCCATTCAGTATATAACAACTTATTGGGATGAAAAAATGGTAATCCCTTATAAAATATTGTGATTTGCTCACGGTCAAGAGAATAAGACTGATACTCACAACTGCTTCTTGCCTCATGAGATATTTTTGTCGCTTGATCTTCTGGCACGCCATAAATTTCTATATGCACTAAATGGACAGATCTGCTAGTCCTTAACAGACGACCAGGTGGAAGCTGATGACCACTGATGAGCTGGAAAATTAAAGTTGTAATGTAATGAAATAACGGTAAGAATGAACTTTACATAGTGGTCATAGAGCAGTGGTATCAGCAAAAACATTTCCTTAGGAAACTATTATAAGAAGCATACACCAGCTATAAACTGTTGTAGAAATAGAAATTAAACACAACGAAATTAAGAATATGGTGCTTCTTAATTAATTTAATTTTTGGCTAATTTAATACAATCTAAGAATCATAGAATTATAGAATAACTTGAGTTGGAAGGAAATGCTAAAGGTCATCTAGTCCAACCCCCCTGCAACGAGCAGAGAAATCTTTAACTAGATCAGGTTGCTCATGTAACCTGATCTTGACTGTTTCCAGGGATAGGGCACCTACCACCCCTGTGGGCAATCTGTTCCAGTCATTCAGCAGCCTCAGAGTAAAAGTAAAAACAAGAAAAATCTGGTATCATGCTTCAAATAATATTTTTCAGATTTCAGATTTTATTCAATAACTAGATATAAAAATTATATTTGGTTACAATGTGAAGTGGGAATGCTGAAGGAATCAGCCTCACGATTTTGGAATTTTCTAGGATTAAGCCCATGGATTCCTATTAAAGCTGTGTCTAATAGACCAACGCTAAGATCCATGGTGACATCAGCATTGTTTTGCAGGCTATTTAGCAGCCTGCCTCACCGGTTCCTTCTTTCAAAGTAATACATAAAAACTCTTCATTTAGTAAACTCCCTGATGTTTATCTCCTTAAATTAGTTAGCTACCTGGAAGTTTTGCCTCAGAGTGCCCCATAATCTGTCATCCAGCCTAGGAAAGGATTTATGAAAATCGCAACTTTGTCTGCTTTCTATCTATATTTCAGGACACCTGGGAAAGAATAACCATCTATAACAGTAATCATTTTTTTAGAGACCGGTAGGAGGAGTGTATCAGGAGAGATATACAAGCTTGCAAACCCAGGTTAAATTTATGCCATTTATGATCCAGATCTCAGGACTAAGCATCAAAACTCATGATACAGGTTCTTATTCCCCTGTCAATCACACACACACCAAAAAAAATCAAACCCCACAGATTTCACCTTCTGCTTGGGTATTTTCTGTAGCACCTTCCTCCAAGAAAAGTTCTAGTCTGAAACCCTGGAGAGCAGTGGCTTAGCAAACCCTGATGCTATTCCCTTTATTCCTAGAAGATACCTAATTCATTCACTGGAAAGCTTCTCAAGATGCAAACACTGATGGACTGTTCACTTAGAACCAGGGGAGGTTCTTTGACATATCTTGAATGTCATGATGGCCAAGTCCTCCTTTGCAATCTTACCCCATTGCTGGGTTCAGTCTAAGGCTCCCACAGGGTCAGAAAAAAATGAGGTCTTTCCAGCTCACTATGGCACAAATCCATAAATCCAAAAACATTTTGGACCCAAGGTGAAGCAGACATACAGAGGGAGTAGTAAATAACATGGCAGGCTCAGAAGTTTCTATATGAAATACCTTGAATATTTGTATGGCTGCTTCAAAGGCTGTATGTTTTTGTTGTGCCACGTCAGGTTGAGGATATTGAATCCAGTACAATTGACCCCATGTGATTTTTGTGCTCACTTGTCTTCTTCTCTCTGTTCATTCATTCATTCACTCACAGTCAGTCTGAGAGATTTGACCCCTAGATGTTTTATATCCTTGCCCTCTGATAAGTAATTTCTCCATCAAATTAGTAACTGTTCTTGAGCAGAAACTGGTTTTCCTTTGACTCCTGCTCCTGAATCTCTTTGTCTTCAAACACTATTTCCTGTTTTTTTCCTCCTAGGAATGGGGCTGTCTACACCCAACAGTCCCTTGGATGCTGATCTATGTCCTCAGTCTAGAAGACTGCCTTTCTCCTTTCCAACTTCTTCCAAACTCAGCCGTTTCTTTCCTCTTGTCTGTCTCTCTCCTGCATTACAGCTGAGGATTTTTACTCGTCTTAATTAACTCCAGCTTTATACAAATCAGAGCTAAAATAACTGATGTATATGCATGGGTCCTTGAAATCATCCAGTAATGTCTATTCGTAATTGGTACGCTCACTGTTAGGACACTAACATGGTCTTGATTAGATGCATGCATTATGTAAGTATTTTATAATTGTTATTAGCTAGTGTTTTTTCTCCACTATTTGTTTCTTGGAAAGAAACAAAATGGTAATTATAGACTAAATTTATGTTAATTAAATGGCATTTATGTAAGTAGTGTACTGTGTAATCAGAAATAGCAATTTTTCATTGGGAAAAGGTAGTTTTTTAACTAGTGAATAATTATAAAACATCTACTTGACCTCAAAAGAAGGGTTTTTCTAACCCATTATTTTTAATTTTTATGTTTTTCTAATATTTTTAAGAAGTAAATCAGATTTTAATTTGGCAGAAGTAGAAATAATTCAAAGGCTTATTGATTCGTTCCCCTTTATATACTTATTTATATCATTCTAGGATGGTAAGAAGTTTTTTATATTTAGGAAGATAACGAAACTTAAAAGAAGCATAAATCTTCCTATCATATCTTCAAACACTTCCATTTTTTAGTTAGTGTTATAATAGTATATGTGGTATTATTAGTACTTGAAGAAAATAACACTAAAAGTGCACGTTCAATTTTTGAGTTTTTTTGAGTTCAGTCCCCACACTGTAACTAAGACCTTTTGTCAGCTATACTTGTGACATGGTGCAAGTTATATTTATACTTCTGTACACAACAGCATGAAAAATCGTGTATTTTTACCATTTCTTATAACTTCTGAACAGCTATGTATTTTTAGCAAACATAAGTGGACTACATGGGGGAGATCATCCAAGCAGTAGTAGACATTATAAGAGAATTTTAACATGTTGTTAAAAAACAATATTAAACATTCCTGCAACCAGGAATGGAGATAAAATGAGAAACTAATAATAGATAGCAAACAGGTCTGAACTATATAGATTTTTTTTCACATTTCATGGAATAAACCAACAATTAACTAAACTTACCCTTATCTCAAGAGACATTGGTTTACTATGACTTCCCACATTTTGTGGGGTAAATGTTGAAAGACGATCTCTCAAGAATTCCGGTTTCAGAACATAGCCACAACCACCATTGTCTAGGAATTTTCCATTTTGCAAATCCATTTCTACTCCCGGTGTCCGGAAGTTTAAGGCCACTACAAAATTAAATAAATATTGTTTTTAGGGAATTAGATTCAATACTATTTTATAAAGCAACTCTCTGAAAATAACATTCAAAAACCGAATAAGATTAAAATATGTATACCTTTCAACTCACATATAAAATTCTGTTATCGCTCTTAAATATAACAGTATTAAATAAAGAATGATTCGTACACCAAATAAATGCACTATTTAGAACTGTGCACATTTTAAGAATTACCACATAGATCTTTTTTACACTGCAGTGTGGTGTGTGTTTTCCTTTTTCTTTCTAGGGTAGACATTGGAGAATATGAAATGAGAGATCTTTTTTCTCCATGAGGACTGAATTCCCATACTAGTTTTCTCTATGGCGGCAACAACCTGCAATGCTGCACCTGCATAAAAAGTTCTGAGGCAGAAGGCAAAACCATAGGATCATAACTAACCTTTGTTATGGTGCAGAATGTATCACAAAAGCACGTTGCCCATAAGAAGAAGCAGCTTTAGAATACTCAGTGTGAATACGTACAAGTTTGAAGAAGCAATTTTAAAAGTGTTCTTAAATTTATGTGAGCAAACTCTCTGAAGTTCCAGCTTAACCTTCCACTACTGACAGATTTTTCTTTCCTTGGCAGCTCAAAACATCTGTGGTTTGCTTTAGCAGCAGTAATAAAATTACACACTTCTCATCAACAGGATATTGCAATTCAGGAGATAAAGCCAACATTGAAATAGACCTGTTTAATGAAATTTTCCCCTATTCTGGGATGTTGGAGTTTCCTGTCACATTCAAAACAGAAATTGCACAAGTCAAATCAGCAAAGTGATAACAGGACATGTGTTGAACAGAAAATGATAAAAAGTTGTTTACTTGATGGCTTGGTAGGGAAAAATGAAGACTTTAAGCAGTACAAGTGACGACTCACAACAATTCAGGAAGAGGACCTTATTACATGCTCCTATGAGAGTATACAAATGCGATAATGGAACATTTGGCAGAATTCAGAAATCCTTATGTGGAAAATGCAAGAAAGTTGGATCTGTTTCACTGCAAAAAAAATATTTTCTTCACTGCTTTGATGATGCTTAAAAAAATTCTGTAGTAAATGACACAGGAACAGATCTATAGAGTGGAGCAGCTGCTACCACGGACCCAGTGTTTGTATTACACATGTTTTCAGCAGGGTTACTTCAGAAGAGCTCTAGCTTGGTCCCTTGACCTCAATACCAATTAATGGCTAGAATACATCAAGTGCTCCCAGAGTGCATCCTCTATTTCATCTGAAAAGAATCCCATCTGTGCTAGGAGGAATTAACATGCAGTAAGAAAGAACAATTGGGAGGCTTGCCTAAAAAATCTGCAATCAAACAAAAAGCGCAAAACCAACAACAACAACAACAAAACACAACATGCACTGCTGCTTTGAAATAATTGTTAATGTCATTGCAGTCATAGATTCTCTGTCGATATGCAAAGAAACCTGAAGCTTATTTTACCTTTGGCGATAGAAATTAAACATCAAAATTATTTCATTCCCCATTGCACACCATTGCCTTTTTTAAAGATGGTGAATATTCTCCTGGTATAGCTTTGGCAGCAGTGTACAATTTGGTTTTTATGACTTAACACATCATTTAATGTCATTGCAGTCATAGATTCTCTGTCGATATGCAAAGAAACCTGAAGCTTATTTTACCTTTGGCGATAGAAATTAAACATCAAAATTATTTCATTCCCCATTGCACACCATTGCCTTTTTTAAAGATGGTGAATATTCTCCTGGTATAGCTTTGGCAGCAGTGTACAATTTGGTTTTTATGACTTAACACATCATCTAGAAACAGGCCCAAACGGGTGCTATATGACCTTTGTTGTATCTTAATACGATGAGCCTCTTGCTAAATTTGCCAAGCTTCATAGGCTACTAAGTAGGAAAAACTGATTCAACAACAGAAACAAGCAAAGGAGAATACTTTACATTTTATCATATTAGGAAAATTACTTCTGCAACACAAGTGAAAGGCGATGTTATTACGGGTTGATATCTTTGAACATCAACACTGTATTTTTACTTAATTTGATTTTATCTTAGAATAAGCTAAAACCGTCCACATGGTGAAACAAATTACATGATTGCACGTAATGAGACTGTTGCTAAATTTGCCAAGCTTCATAGGCTACTAAGTAGGAAAAACGGATTCAAAAACAGAAACAAGCAAAGGAGAATACTTTACATTTTATCATATTAGGAAAATTACTTCTGCAACACAAGTGAAAGGCGATGTTATTACGGGTTGATATCTTTGAACATCAACACTGTATTTTTACTTAATTTGATTTTATCTTAGAATAAGCTAAAACCGCACTGAACAGTAGTTTTAATTTACCTACTGATTTTCTGGTATTGCAGGTTGTAACCTGATTAATGTAACTAAAATTTTGTGTTATATTCTCTGAGATACATACTTCTATTGCAATTGTTTAGCAGGTTCTTAACTGCTTGGAGCCTCCTAGGACAACACTTTATGTTGTACTGTCGATGCACAGTTTTTCTTTTCAATCAGATGCAATTATAACCCTTACACTTCTTAAGAAATGGCAAAGTTTGTAAATTAAAACGTCTGATCTTCATTATCTAGCAGCATGATCTTTCTGCAGGGAAGATCGAATTTCTACCCAATGTTTCATTTTAGTTTTGCTGAATTCATGAACAGAACTGTCAATACCATGCTTTGTACTGTTGCTTTATGAAACAGTATAAATTTCATACATGTATGAAGAGAGCTTTAAAGCCTCTGGTTTCCTTTTGGAAAGACGCCTGAAAAGCTTACTGTGAAACCATCTGAACAGTAAGTAATTTAGCGTGTGGTTTTCATGGAAAAGCAGAGGCACTTGAAGTTATAGCACTGAGTAAGACACACTTTCTTCTCAGGCCTTCCATTAAGCACCAAAAGCCTTTTAGTATTGGCATCAAAATTAAAACAGCAGAGCAAAACACGGGCTTGGAGAAACACGTGAGCAAAGGAATTCCTCAGTGTGATTCCTGCATTTGAAACAGATCCAAGTCTTCCTGGAACCGTGAGGCCGAATCTCCTTCACATGAAAGCACTATTCAATGCTCAGGTCTTCTTGCAAAGTATCAAAGCTGCCCTGGCTCTACCTGTTGGCCTCAGATATAAAAAACATCCTATAGAAAATGCATATTAGGGAATAACCTGGCTCCAAAGAAATTAGATAATCCAATGCACAGAGGAATACAGAGGGTATAGTTCATTCTAAATCTCTGTATCACAAAGAGTTAACTGAACTCAATCCCACAACTAATTGCAGAACAAACAACAATCTAAGTGTTCAAATACACCACCTTACGTAAGCACTACCATTCAAGTCATAATTGATTTTTAGACTGGCAGAAAAAGCTTTCGAAAACCAAAGTGAGCACTGGTGTTCTTAGATTTCTAAATGACTGTGATTTGAAAGTGGTTGAGGAAAACTGCAAGCCTTCTGTCTATGATGCTTCCTCTCAATTCCTATTCTTATTGGGACTTTTAAATTGACATATTTTTGATTTTTTGCTTCTTGGTTCTATTAGCTGTATTACACTCCTAAGGTTTAGTGCCTTTTCTGCATTTTAAAGGCAGGATTTTTAAAATGGATACACACACATTTGTCACTAATTTTCCTTAAAATGAGTTACTTAATTGCACTTTATGCCATTTAAAATCCATCTCCAAATGTCTGAATTTTATGCAGTCTTCAAAAATATCATATGCAAAAGGCACTCAGCGTCACGTTCTTATTTCCGTAATTTACCTCACTCGTTTGGATTTAAAGGGATATAATAGATCACGCTTCCAGCCCTTTGATCAGTCTTGTTGCCATCCTCTCAACCCCTTCCAGTTGTATATGTTCTTGACATGGGCCACTCACAATGAATGCAACAATTTCAGCTGAATTCCACACATACTGGGAAGTACCATGAATCAAGGACCAAAACTTAATGATCTGACATATTTTGTCATTGGTTATGAGACGACCTATGTGATTGGATTTGAAGACACTGCATTCGTTCCACCTTAGCACTCCCACCTGGGCACTGAGTCTATCCTTTTTCCTCACATGCAGGAACAGCTGCTCCCCATCCATCATTACCCAGATTTATAGAAATATTTTCAGAAGTCCTTACATGTCTGGGTATTCTACAGTACTTTTTTCAAAGGGATGTAGGTGATTTTTAAAAAATTTAATCTACAGCCTGAATAAAGGACATGCTGACTTGACTTAAAATGTGAATGAAAAGGAAGGATATTCAGCCGTCAGATGTAAGATACTGTGTTAAAAATGTTTGTCTCAACCTTGCTGGAATTGCCCATGAAGAAACTTCAAGGCTGCTGTTGGCAAGCCTGGACCACTGATAAGTCCCAAACAACAACTTCAGAGCCCAGCCCAGATAAGCCACAGGACTTGACTTGACTACTGATACAACTTAAGGGCCCAGCCCAGACAAGCCACGGGGCTCAAAGTCCTGAACAACAACTTCTGGACCTGATGCAGCAGTTGTCTTGCAAGCCCACCAGGTGTAACTGCTGATAGGGTGGCTGCCCTGCAAGGTGAAAATGGGCTCTCCGGACACCTCTGCATGCTCCACTGATGGAGGCGACGCTGAGGGGGGTGAAGATCACTCCTGACGACCCTCATACGCACGCGCTAACCAGGCGGAGAATGGGCAGAGCGGCTCTTGGAACACTACATAATGCCACCGTGAACAGCTGTTCTTTGGAGATCTCCCCCACCGAATCGAAACAGGTGGACCTGCGAGACGTAGCTCGATCTGTGCTGGTAGCTGTACTTCTTGCTATCTTGAACTTTTACTGCTTTGCTTTTCCTTTTCCTTATCTTTATTTCCTGTCGCTCTCCAGCGGTTGTTAGTCAATAAAGGGTTTTGCTTTTGTGACATCTGACACCGTTTGTGTCTTAATTTCACCTTTGCGATCAAAACGAATCACCTTG